GTGTGTGTGTGTGTGTGTGTGTGTGTGAGAGAGAGAGAGAGAGAGAGAGAGAGAGAGAGGGAGAGAGAGAGAGAGAGAGAGAGAACAAACACAATCAAAGAAATAGAGGCTATCAACTTGGTAGAGGAAGTGGGGGGATTTAAGAGAGAGTAACTAGGAGGGGCTGGAGGGAGGAAATGATGTAATTCTATTTTAATTTAAAATAAATGAATGGAGCCATATGCACTAGGATGAGGGAGGAGAGCTCACTTCTCTGGAATCACAGGTTATGATGCCCCTTATGTAAAGATTTCCCAACTATGTGCAGCATCCGAGCCAGTGATCCTCAAATGTTCTCATCTTTAGGCTGTCTGGAGAGATAAAGCTCCCTGTGGGAAGGTGATTGGTTATGCACCCAACTTTGCCTGAGACAGTCCTGGTGTATGACTGTTGTCCTACATGCTCACAGTTAAATGATACAGGTCCATCCTATCTATAGACTGTCTGCCACACTCATTTGATGCACAGACGTGTGAACTCATACGCACGCACGCACGCACACACGCGGGCTCACACACACAGTACTATGTGCACAGTTTTTCTGCCAGGCCTGATAGCTCATACTGTAATACCAATACCAAGAAGGCTGAGGCAGGGAGATTGCCATGAGAGCTGTGAGTTCAAGGTCAGCCTGCCCTACATAGTATGTACTAGGCCAGCTTGAGGGGCTACATAGTGAGATCTTGTCTAAAGAAACAAAAAACGCAATTTTCAGTACCAGAGTATTATGACTATCTTTTAGCCTAATTTGCCTCATTGTACAGACTGGAGACTTGGTAAAAAAAAAAAATTCTGTTAGGTATTTATTTATTTAATCACTCATTGTTGAACTGAAGATTGAGCCTAGCGCCTTATGCATACTAAGCGAGTGCTCTACCACTGAGCTATGACCCTCGCCCATTTTCTTTAACCTTTTATTTTAAAATAAGTTTTTCCTATGTTGCCCAGGCTGACCTTAAACTCCCTCTCCCACCAAAGTGGGCCTCTAACTTGGCCATTCTCCTGCCTCAGCCTCCCTAGAGGTTAGGCTTATAGGCTTCTAGCACCAAGCCCCGCTCTCTTGGGGCTTTGACGTGACCAGAGGCATAAGAACAGAACACTGCCTCTGTGGTTCACTTCTGACTCTAGGAGGAGAAAATCAGTATCAGATTTAAAAAAACATGAATGAGACTCTCTAGCTTCTTTCTGTGACACAATACTATGAGAATTAAATGAAGTGACTGGGGAAACTCATCTGAGAAGGGCCTTCCTTGCAGGAAAGCACAGTGCAAGCATTAGTAATGAGGTCACTCTGTCCTTTCCAGCCTCAGAGGAGCCTGCTTTGCCCATCGTCTCAGCCATCACGGCTGCACCAGGCTCCCTGAAGCCTCTGCCCTTAACCGCTGACCCTGGCATTGCTGCCAGACGATGCCAGACCGGGCCACACCTGGAGAGCCCAAACTGCTGAGACAGCATGCTCCGAAGTCAACCCCAAACCCAGAGTGACTGAAGTGGCACCCTGTGAGGCGTTAGGAAGCATGGGTGCGAAGCTGCTGACTCACTTTCTGGAGTCCCATTCTGCTAGGCTCCCTCCTGTGCGCCCATCCGAGAACTCATCAACACTTGCACTTACTGGAAGGTGACTGATGTTTGTAACACGATTTTGTTAAAGATCTTCTTGAGATGCAAGAGATAAAGGACGTTTCTATCAGAACTTGTGCCATGAAAACATGCCCGGCTGTCGGTCTGAAGCCCTCTTCCGCTTAAGCCACCCTCCCTTCAAGCTGTGTGACTTCAGATCTCTCTTTATCACTGACATTTCTTCACCCTGAGCAGCTGAGCAGAAACTGGTCAAGGTCCCCAGTTCTGAGATCCAACTGGGGCAAGTAAAACAACGTATTGTATTAAATGGAGTTTTCAGGATAAAATGTTTGAACGAAGCCATAAAACCTTTGTATTGTTATTATTATTACCCACGAGGAAGAGACAATAAGTCAGCACATCTCAAAAGTTCAGGAATTTATGTTGAAATGCATGATTTTTTTCAAGTTTGCTGCATCTAACAGGAGCGAGGAAGAATGATTTCTGCCTAGAAGGCAGGTGTCAGACAAGGAACACTGGTCTAACGTGTAAAATGGCAAGGACAGTCTACATTTCAGCCCCACAATGCCCACCGGGAAGGGCAGCCCCTGCTCTCTTCTTCTCAACCTTCTCCAGGCCTTAAGTACCACACCCTTTCAGAGACTGGCACCGCAAAGCCCTCCCGCATCCCACGGCAGGGCTGGAAACAATCTCATCAGAGACTGGCACCGCAAATCCATGCCGCATCCCACGGTAGGGCTGGAAACGATCTCATCAGAGACTGGCATCGCAAATCCATCCCGCATCCCACGGTAGGGCTGGAAACGATCTCAGTCTTCCCGAAATCACTGCTGTTCCCCACGCCGCCATCACCCAACCTCATGTCCTTCGCCTTCTTCATATTGTGAGTGTAGGTGGCTATGTGTTGTGACTCCAAAGGCCTTAGGAGCTGGGACTGCAGCCCGTCGTAGGGAGAGTTGGTAAAACCCACCCACTTCTTCACCATTTGGAGTCACCCCCTAACTATTTCATGACTTGTCCTCACGAGGGACCTCACCAGCCCTGTGAGCCCACTTCGCTTACCTTGAGCAGCTGGTATCCTGGGAAATGCTCTGCGAGGGAAAAGGCCGGCCGGCTCTCTGAGGCAGTGAACGCTGTGCTCTGAGCCTGGGAGCTGGCTCACCTGCAGCCACGCCCGGGCCTCCCACCCCGGCCCCGCCCACAGCTGCGCTCTTACTCATAACTCTTGGCAGCCTGGGCAAAACTGGAAGACATGATTCAGGCTGAACTTGCTGCTGCTGTCTGCACAGCTTTGGATGGCCTGGGACAAGCACTGGCAGGAAGGGTCTGTCGGTGGAGCCTGCCCTGAGCTGAGCCCAAGCATGCAAAGCCAGCCACGGAAGGTGAATGGAAGGAAATAAGAATAGAAGAGGTGGTGATAGAAATACTACAAACTTCTCTGACCTCCATTTTTCCGTGTAGAGTGCCATTGCTCGTTCTGATAACATACACAGTGTTACAGGCAAAACATGCACTACCAAACTGATTAGGAGAAACAGCTTGACAGAATTGCAGAGAGGGTATGTCCCAGCAGAGGACACAGCTTTGCTCTGAAATGTTTGGTGTAAACTTGATTTGACAACTCCAGATCTCCTGCAGCTCCTTGACCGGTGGGATCTGTTCTTTTCCTACCCTGCTTTCTGGGAAGCACCCAGAAGCCAGCCAGTTGCTTCTCCGGACGATCACCTATGCTCCTTGCTCATGTCCTGGTTTGTTTCATCATAACCTGGAGTGCAGCATCCCCACACTGACTACCAGAATTTTAAAGATAAGGGCCAGCTCCACTCATTTCTTAACAGCACTCCTTGGCATGCCCATGATTTACTATATGCAGTCCATGAGGGATTGCTGACCGTTTGGATGAAAGTGACTTGGTAGTGTCTCCTTTTCCCTGTTCTGAGTCTTGTTATTAGCCAGAATCAAACTCATAAACAAAATTGAGTTCAACTCTGAAAGCACCATTGCAGGCATCAGGAGAGCATGGGAAGAAAGATCATAAAGACAGGGATATGGGCAGAACACCTCATAAAATATCACAGTATCTAGCTGCAGTCAGGGAAATGTGGGTTTGGGGGCAGAGTCATAAGTTTTCAAACTGTTTCTGTTCTTGGAGAAATCCTAAACAAAATGTTTAATCTCTCTAGCCCCATATTCTTCAATTGTAAAGTGAAATATACATGCACATACATATGAAGACAATTATTACCACTTTGCTGTTCCTCAGAAAAACTCAGAAGAATCACAGTGGCCAAGAGGCCAGAATGGGATATTAGCATCTAATTCACCACAACTATTTATTCAGCATTGGACTGCTCCCTCCTTGTCACTGCAATTTTGGATCTTAAGAGATCTTAAACCTTAGTACTTGGTCAGCTCTCCCTTTTCATGCTTTAATTCCCTCTGCTACGTTCTTGTTAACTCTCTGCTCATACTGGAAAGAAACATTTCCAATGACAGAAATTCAGCAACTCCCGAGGAACCTGAGCACAGCACGGTTCTGATTGTTTGAAAGTTAGAGGAGCCATACACTTAGAAATGTGCTGTGTTCCCTGTCCCCGAAGGACATACAAATAACACAGTAGGAAGAGAAAACATAAATGAATTCAAGTACCTGATGGTGCAAATGAACAGACACAATAAGACTGGCGGAATGGTGGAATATTGACCACATACTCAAATGTAGTTCACTGATGAGTACAACTCTTACAGCCTTAGCGTGCTGGAGAGGCATCGAAGCAGGGTCCGTGGACAACAGAGGACCTGGCAGGCCTAGAAACAAAGAATGAGAATTCCACAGCTAGAACTGCAAAAGACAAATTGGACCAGTATGGCAGCGAAGGGCAACTAGAGCTTTCCCTGACAAGAGCACTCGCTTGTCGAAGTGTCTCTGGACAATGAACCCAAGTGTTTGTGCCTTGGATTCGAAGCCAATGTTTAATGTAACATCCTGACAAACACAATTACTGACTGAGGAAAAAGCTATTCCTCTTCATGGGTAGGGAAATTAAAATTTTGATTCCATTTGATTAGAAAGAACTATTTCCCTGGGATATTTTTCTCTGTGGTAGCCATAAATTTGAATATTATTATACTCCACATTACAAGACACAAGAAAACAGAGAGGTGGGAAGGAATGGAGTTGAACAAGTAGCCCATGGGTCTAAACACACACATTTCCAAACTAGTCTCTAGAAAACACAACAACAGATTAATTGTAGGAGAGAACAGCTTGAAGAGAATTTCTGCTGTTGGCATGTCAGTTCCTATTATGACCCTTCTCTTCCAATGGGGCCTTCTTGACTGGAGTCTTTGGTTGATTAAACGCACCTGTTTTTAGTTGTGAGCCTAACATGGGTCTACATCAGGTCTTTTGCATACATGCTGTGTTTTTGGTGGGACTCCTAACAATGGGAGTGGGGGTGCCTCTGACTCTTTTGCCTGTTCGTGGAACCTTATTTCCTCCTACTGGGGTGCCTCATCTAATCTTGACATGAAGACATATGCCCAGTCTTATTGCATCGTGTTATGTCCAGTTCAGATGCTATCCCTGAGAGGCCTGCTCTTTTCTGAAAGAAACAGAGGAGCAGTGGATGTGGGAGAGAGGGGAGGTGGGGGGATTGAGAGGAGTGGAGGGAGGAGAAACTGTAGTCAGGATAGATGAAAGAATAAAAGAAAATAAAAACTAAGCCTCTGCTGAGTGTGTCAGACCTGATCAAGTCCCTGGGACATCTAGACATCAAGAAGAAGACCTAGATATTGGTCTCAAGGACGCTGTAGCTTGGCTTTCAATGCTAACACTGACATCTATGATCATTATTGTAGTGTGAAAATACACAGCTTGGAGAGAAATCCTGGAAAGGACAATGTTGTCAGTTATGTTAGCATGAACACTTTGAGGAATGGGGTGGTTTAAAAATGTCCTGTATTTTAATAGCAACATAGAATCATTTATATAAAAACAAGAGAGAGAGAGAGAGAGAGAGAGAGAGAGAGAGAGAGAGAGAGAGAGAGAAACTAGAGGGGTGTGGGAAGGAGAAGGTATTAGAGGTGAATATGAGCCCTATACATATATTCTTGGAAGACTGTCCTCAGGAAACCAACACTACCTAACGGATGCACACCAACTGTATTCAAGGGCTGTAATTCAGTTCTTGTTATAGTGGTCAACCCCTTGCCATGCAGCTTCATAAAAATCCAGCTCTTGAGTATTTTCAGTTTTCTTTGCTCTTAATAAAATTTGAACCTGTATGAAATAGTTACAAAAATCAAATTTGATTAAGTCAGTGTGCACTGTCCTCAGTCTCCAACCTAAGCAGGGCTCACTGTTCCCAAGAACTCTGAATGGTCTCTGGCACAGTGGATGTGGAATTTATGAATGAGGAATGACCTCTTTGTGGAAAAGTATGTTGCATAGATGCAATTAATTCAAACATTGATGAATCCAACCCGTAAATCTGAGATCAGGTGTTCCCTTAAACACAGCTACCTTTCTCTCAGTTCTCTTTATAGATTCTTAAGGCCACTTCAGATTATTCATCCAACCATGTTCAGTTCTTTAAGGAAGGTTTCGCGGGAAAGGACATAGCTGTTTGTAGAAAAATTTCTTTGCTCTATAACTCCCAAAACAACTTATAATGGTCTCTTTCTTGTAAAACACAAAATCCATTTTACAGACCATGCACATAAAAACAATGGGTGGGCTTTGGGGGTAGAGGGAAGAACTACCATTTAAAGAATTAATAATCCATTCATAATGCACTTTAATCAAATGACAATTTCCTTTAGTTCAACAAAAGTAGTCTATAGACCAAATATTTAATAACCTTGGCGACTGTTTTGTTGGTGGTTTTTCTTGCCTATGGGTTTAAACATTACAAACATTATGACTGAATTACACAGCATTCTGGCTAAGAATGACTAGACACACCCAGCCACTCCCAGCAGCTACTCAAAGGAGCTTTGTTATGACATGCTCTTCAGTTCTCTCTCTCTCTCTCTCTCTCTCTCTCTCTCTCTCTCTCTCTCTCTCTCTC